AAGTTTAAGAGAGACGTGGGTTTTTTTCAGCTGATACTAAACTCAACAGATGTTACTAGTATAGATGCCTAATTCAGCCTTACAGAGTTTTGACAGAAACAGGAGATGTAGAATGAAGGGAGTGATAATCTCACTCTGCTTGGTACTTGATTAAGCCTCCCTTGAAATTCTGTATTCTATTCATTAAGACAAAACTGGGGCAAGAGTGATACTGATAGTGAGGATGCTGGAGCCAGAGGCCTATGGGGCAGGATGGAACAGTGCGAGGAGCACTGGCCAGGGAGTTAAGAGGCAGTTTATGCCAGTAACTGGCTGTGGGATCCTAATCAAGCCAGCATTTCTCTCCCTCCAGGGCTGACAACAGGCCTCCCTGAGGAGGAGCATGGGTGGTGGCAGTTGGCTGGCCTGCTCTCCCAGGTTTTGTCCCTCTGATCAGGTCACACTGTCCCTACCTCACCTATCCAGGGACCAAGCCTCTGGAGCCTCCATGCAAAATTTTACATTCTTGAAATGCCATTACCTTTTGCAAATTACACCAATATTTCCCTTGGGAAGCCTTTAGAAGTACCCTTTCTCTGACTTCCTGGGAAGCCAAGAGGATGACAATTCACATCTGTTACCACAGATGACATTTAATGAGGCAGTAAAGCAAAAAGCCTAAGAAAATTGGCTTTGAAATCATAGGGGACTGAGTTAAAACTCAGCCTCTCTACTACTAGCTTTGTGACCACTTAAACTTTCTGAACTCAGTTTCCCTGTCTGCGAAGTAAGGTTACTACCAGGCTTGTAGTGATGTGAATACGAAGACAATGCATGTACAAAATATAACACAATGTGGGGCACAGAGCAGGTGCCCAATAAATGGTAGTGCTCCTGCTACATTTACTACCACCATTCCTCCTTTCCCCCCCTTTGTCCTCCTCTGGCCAGGCACTATGCTGGTTGCAGGGGGTATGGTGGAAAACAAATTCACACCCCTGCCAGCACCAAGCCTCCAATCTAACCAGCATTGTCCAGTTGAACTTTCTGCAGTGAGGGAAATATTCTATATGTGCATTCTCTAATATGGCAGACATATGTGGCATTTAAGCACTAGAAATGTGACTAGTGTGACTGAGAAACTGAAATTTTAACTTTAATTTTAATGAACTGAGTGAAAATGGAAGGAGTCACATGTGGAAATACACAGCTTTCAGGTGCATTTCTGAGACTGACCAATGTGAGCAGAATAAAGATGCACTTGAAAGAGAAACGCATATAAAGTACCTGGAAAATTCTTATTTGTCCATTTATTGCACTGGATTGTTTACTCTGCATAACTACTAGCTCGGTGCTAGGTGTGCGGGGCTAGCTGTACCTTCAGGGAATTCTCAGTTTAGTGGGGGGTGTGCAGATAAGTGATTTCACCATAGGGAGCTAAGTGTATTCACAGGTGCAATGAGTCCAGCAGAGAGGGCTCTAACCTAGAAAAGCAGTTGTGGAAGGCTTCCCAGAAGGATGTTTTAAGACCTGAGCCGAGTCTTAAATAAGTAGATCTCATAGTGGTGGCTCAAATGGTATGTATTCCTCTTTACAACAATGGACTATATTCCAAGGCTACTAAGCCCGCTGCTGCTGGCAGAGGTGGCTATGGGGCAAAAACAGCCCTAGGGAAAACTCATAGTTAGGGCCAACTAGTTTTCGTTGAAAATGTCACCTTTGTGTCTTTTTGTATTGCCTAATTCAGTTTCTCTTCTATGGCCACATTTTCTTCACCTGATGACATTTTTTCAATGATGTGTATAACCTTGTTTTTTATTGAGTGACTTGCCGTCACTAACCACGAGTGACAGGGAGTTGGGCAAGTGAACTCTGTTTCATACAAAGTGACATCAACTTCCGCTGTGGTTTGGATGTGGGATTCTGATACTTGGTGTAAACAAACAGCTCTGTGAAAATGGCCACTATGTGATTGGCTGGGCTGGCTGAATTTAGCCTGATGGTGATGCACCTTCATAGGGGTGCAGGCTGTTCTAATTATTTGTGTGGAGAAGTGGAATGTTATGCCATGTATATATTTTACACAAGCCAGAGAATTCTGCAATTGATACTTGCACAGATAAAAATAGGTATAGCCTTATATTTGTATGGGTTTCATAATCACACTTGTGTGTATACAGCAGGGTGATGTGTGTGATTCTGCCTCCCATGAAGCCAGAGGGATGCTTATGTGGTCTGATGTATTTGAGTTCCCAGAAGTCACCTGCTTTGACTGTGGCAGAACTATCTGGAGGGGATGGAAGTGGAAATTGGTGTATCTTTTTCCAAAACCTGCTTGTCATATACATCAGGAGCCTTAAAACATTCATGCCCCTTGGCCCAGTGATTCTACTTCTGGGAATCTATCCAAAGGAAGTATTTGGAAATGTGTGCAGAAAGACTTTGCCCAGGGATGTTGTTCAGAGTTACGTGTAGTTGCTAAACACAGGAATCAACTTGAAAGACCAACAGTGTAATAATAGGCAGCCATGAAAATGATGTCCATGAAGGACTTTCACTATGATACTACTTATGGGAAAAAGCAGAGAAGCAACAGCTACCGAGGCGAAGCAACCACCCAGTTGTTGGACAGCCTGGGTTTGAATCCTGACTTGGCCACTTACAGGTGTGTGACTTGGACAAGTCCCCTGAACTCTGTGACGCTAATACTTGCCTCAGGACTTCTGAGAATTAAACGACACTGAATATACAATACTTAACACATTCAAGGTACATTAGGTACCCAGCAAATGTTGGTTCTCTAAGGACTGTACAATTTCAAGGCATAAAAATAGATGGAAAGGAAATATTCTAATATATTAGCCATGTGGAATCTGAGTGGTAGAATTTTGGGTGGTCCGCTTGATTCTTTGCACACTTTTCAATTTCCCAAATTTTCTGCATTTAACATGAATTACTTTTATAATAAAAAAGCATATCATAATGATGTAATAATACAGTAAGATTTTTTCTTTTTTGAAAAAGAGTTTTACCACAACAAAAAACAGTACTTCCCTTCCAGGGAAGGAGCTGGGGGCAGCCTCCCCTCCAGGGATGGGCAGTAGAGGGAAGAGCTGCTGCATTAGGGGTACTTTCCCTGGCAGAGCCTAAGGCGTGCACACCTGGGACCTCTGGGGGTATAAGGTTAACAGGATCCCCCCCCACCTGTTGAAGGTACTCTGGAGATTTGAGGGGGAGTTGGAACAGATGTCCTTAGCGGTTTCCTCTATCTCTGAAAGTCTAGATTCCAAGACACTCTGATGCTTATCATTTTCTGCCCATATCCTGGTTGATCTGAACCAAACATGACATGAAATTTTAAGGTGGGAAAGACTCATCTACTTGCTTCCCACTCACAGACCCCTAGCAGGAAAAAAAAAAAACCTACAATGTTATGCATAAACTTCAAGGGTGATTGGTAAAGAAAAGACGTATAGGAGAGGTACAACACGTAAGTTAGCTTTCTGGCTGCCTCTTTATTTAATGAGTATAATTCACCTTCGGAAAGGACTCTCTGACAAATACAGCCCTTTTTGACAAGACCAATGACTAAGTCCGTTTCCACATAAGGACATATCCCTGGAATGAGAGGGGCATAAAGCACAAAGGTAGAGTGTGTGTGTGATCAAACAGTCAAGACATTTGTCCCCTGTGATCTAATACCCTTCGTTGACAACGACGGGTACCCTGTGCTCTAGCAAGTGGCTCTGTGTGGGCCGTATTTTAGACAAAGAATCCCAGGCACTGAAATAATGAAGTCGTTTCCCTCTTTTGAAACAGAGGGGCAGTTCCCAACCCTGTGTCCTGACCGATGCTCCCCATCAGTGACTCCCCCTGGTCCGCACCTCCAGAACCAAGGTAAGTCCCCCAAATTCCCACAATGAAAGAATGATAAACAGCCCTCCTATGCCCTCCTCGGGACAGCGAGGTCATCGTATGCTAATGAAGCCAGAGGAGACAACCGCCCCGCGCCGGCCTGCGAGCGCGCCCGCGGGTTCGTAGCTCTCCCGCGCGCCACTGCGGCGCCGCCACAAATCACCTCGCGCTGCCGCAGACCCTCCTGCCTCGCCCCGGGTAAAGAGGGAGGGTGCGGGAGGGTCTCGTCGGTCACTCTGAGTTCGGTGTCTGGATCGTCACACCTGGCAGCTGCCTCTTCGCTCCTGTCCCGTGCTTTCCTCTGCAGTGATGGCGGGGATGGGGGCAGCGCATCAGAATCACCTGTAGGGCTTTTTCGAACTCCTCAGCCCCCTCCCCAAATTCTAGTCCACTCGTCCAGAGAAAGAAAATCTCGAATATACAGGGTGAGCGGACTGGTGGAGTTTTTAAAAGCCCCACAGGTGATACTAGATGCACGCCTCTCAAGACACAAACACACGCACACGAACACACATCTTGTGACTCCTAGACTAAACAGGTCAGCCGGACGTTCCCTCCTTGACCCTCCTCTCCTTCCGTAGCGTGTATCTCTCAAGGTCTCCGCGTTCTCTTCAGCTTCCCGTTGCGCTCCCCTAGCCCGGGGGCTTTGTGGAGTCTCCCAAAGTCCTGGAACCCTGCGGGACGGTCGGAGGCTTTGGCGGCCAGATGTTAGGAAAAGTGTCCCCGCTCTTTGCCTCCCTGTACACCCTGGAGCGCGAACTGCATACCAAAGGTAAGTCTAGAAGGGTCGACTGAATAGTTGCTTCAGCAAACTGCCTGGAGCCAAGCCGCCTCCCGCCCGCACACCTTTGAGGTTCGTAAGGTCTTCCGAATAGAAGAGGAAGTCGGTGCCCCACCCCGGCAGCTGCCCGTGCCCTCACCCTGCCAGCGGGGCATCTCCTGCAGGGCTGTGCGGCAGGTGGCACCGTCAGGGTGGGTGCCGTGGCCTCGGCTGCAGCTCCTGCCCCTGGCCGCGGAACTGGCTCCGGCTTTGCCCTCCTTTTGCAAGTTGCTGCAGCTCGCGCCCCCAGCCCGAACCCCCTCCGCTGCGCCGGCCACAGTCTTACCTCAGCATGCAACACTTGGTTGCGCGATTCTGCGGAGCGCTCCTTCCTCGGGGCTTATTCCCTTACTTGGGTGGAAAGAGGAACCGAGAGACTGAAAGGGGACCGAAGCTGGCGTCTGGGCGTCTTCCCGCCCGCGCAGCCCTCCTGGGGAGGGGGATGGAGCGCGACTGGGCGCCGCGGAGCTCGGGCTGCCCGGTTGGGGTTAGGCAGCGCCGGGGGTCTCTGCCGGCCCCAGTACCCGCGGCTCCCAAGAGGTGCGCCTCGGCTGCCCACTACTACGGCACTGCGGCGCCCTGCCCCTCGCAGCGGGCAAGTCCAGCTGCCACTCTCACGC